TCCGGCCGAAATTTTCAGAAATCGGCTCTTTCGGCCGCGGCCGATGGAGAACAGCCCTAGAAAGAGCCGATCTGAAAATTCGGCCGGAATACGGCCGCGAAAAAAACGGCCGATTTTGCAAAGTGGCCGATTTTTCAAACAAAGCAGCCGATTTTGGCCGGGGGCCAGCCGAATTTCAATTGGCTACGGCCGGTTCCTAATCGGCTACGGCCGATTCATAATCGGCCACATGGGGGCCGCCACATGGGCCTCCCACCCCTCCCCCCCCATAAATACGATGTTGATTTTGGGGAGTCCTACGTACCTACCTGCCGTCTTTTCACATTTTTTCACTTGCGGGGGTCTCCGGGTCTCCGCGCACCCTCGAAAAAAACAAAACAAAAAACTTGCAGCTCGCCAGCTCGCCGCTCACAGCTCGCAGCTCGCAGTCCGCACACCGTAGCACGTAGCACACAGCACACACATACCCACATGAGGGGATCCAGCACACAGAAGAACATGCTCGTAGGGTACAGCGAGGAGGAGGAGGAAGAGGAGGAGGAGATAAGCAACAGCGGGGATGAGCAGCGCCAGCAATTTGGCCCTGCACCCGCGCCGCAGCAGCAGCGCTCTCGATGGAGCAACAGCAGCGGCAGCGATGAAGCCAGCGACGATGACGTGGTGGCGCTTGCAGGACCAGCTGCCCGAGGGAGAGGGATGGGCGCAGCAGGAGAAGCGGACCCGTCCCCCCCGATGCCAGCATCGATGCAACGGGATCTGATTGCCTGGCTCAAATCTCCGGAGTCCTCCAACAGGGCGCGTGACAGAGCTAGCGCGAAAAGGGCACGTGATCGAGAGGCAACCGTTGCTGATAACGCCAAGAGCTCAACGGCGCCTGCCAAGAACGCCACGATCACTAGAGAAAGGAGGTTTGTGTCCAACGAGAGCCGCAGACAGGCGGACCACGCCAAGAAGAAGCCTAAACTTGTAGCGACACCCTAAAAGCACAAGACCCAACATAGAGTCTCACCCTTGGATCGAGTAAAGGAGATCCCGGGCCAAGAGTTGGTTCGCTTGGTCAACGGCAAACTGGGGTGCTCTGTCTGCAACTACAAGGAGTTACAACTCAAGTGGAGCAACGTCAGGGACCACTGCAAGAGTCACAGGCATACGGAGCGAAGTCGAAGAAGGCCTTCATCTGCGGGTCCTCAAGGGCATGAAGCGTGATGCCTGCCGACAAACACACAGCCACCAACTTCACCTACAGGAGCTTGTCACGGTCGCTCAGGGTGTCACCGTACATCCCCCCCTTGGCTTTCGACATGATTCCGAAGGCACGCAGCGTGCCCTGCAATATTACGAGTGTCGGGAAGGCAGTAGGACAAGGGCGAAAATGTGCTGTGGTCCTTTGTATGTTATCACCAGGTATATTTCTTGTGTTTTTCTTTACGGGAAATGCATTTGTCGACACTACCACGGAACACGGATCAGCAGGCGACACTGCACGGAACACACAACAGCATACGAAACCAACACACAGTAGTGATACAACGATACTCTTTAGCCATGTATGTACATACAAATAAACTTCGAAATATTGACCGAAACATTACGAAGTACTTCTACAGCAGTAGAATACAACCGAGTACCGCTGAAAATTTTAAATTTTTGAAAAATCAGATGACAGATAGGCAGTAGACTCCCTACCCATTTCTCACCTCGTCCTCAGCCTTCTTCGCTGGCTCTGCGGCCAGCCGCACCATATGCCTATGCCTCCTGCAGTGGTCCCTGACGTTGCTCCACTTGAGCTGTAACTCCTTGAAGTTGCAGACAGAGCACCCCAGCTTGCCGTTGTCCAAGCGAACCAACCCTTGGCCCGGGAACTCTTTGACTCGATCCAAGGGTGCGACTCCATGTTGGGGCTTGTGCTTGAAGGGTTTCGCTCCACTTTTGGGCTTCTTGTTGGCGTGGTACGCCTCTCTACGGCTCTCGTTGGACACAAACCTCCTTTCTCTAGTGATCGTGGCGTTCTTGGCAGGTGCCGTTGAAGTCTTGGCGTTGTCAACGACGGTTGCCGCTCGATCACGTGCCCTTTTCGCCGCCGCTCTCTCACGCGCCTTGGTGGAGGACTCCGAAGGTTTGAGCCAGCCAGTCAGATCCCGTTGCATCGATACTGGCATCGGGGGGGACGGGTCCGCTTCTCCTGCTGCGCCCTTCCCTCTCCCTCGGGCAGCTGGTCCTGCCACCTCCACCACCTCATCGTCGCTGGCTTCATCGCTGCCGCTACTGCTGTCGCTCCATCGAGAGCGCTGCTGCAGCGGCGCGGGTTCAGGGCCAAATTTCTGGCGCTGCTCATCCCCGCTGTTGCTTATCTCCTCCTCCTCTTCCTCCTCCTCATCGCTGTACTCTACGAGCATGTTCTTCTGTGTGCTGGATCCCCTCATGTGTGTGTGTGTGTGCCACGTGCTACCGTGTGCGGACTGCGTGCTGCGAGCTGCGAGCTATGGGCGAGCTGGAAGCTGGAAGTTTTTTGTGTTTTTTTTTTTCAAGTGCGGAGACGCGGAGACCACCGCGCAAGTGAAAAAATGTTCGAAAAGGGTAGGTAGGTACGTAGGACTCCCCACAACATTGAATTTATGGGGGGGGGAGGGAGGTGGCCCATTGAAATCGGACATTGGCCGTGGCCGATTTGGAATCGGCCGTAGCCGACTAGGAATCGGCCGTAGCCGACTGACATTCGGCTATCCCCTGGCCAAAATCGGCTGCTTTGTTTGCAAAATCGGCCACTTTGTTTGCAAAATCGGCCGTTTTTTTTTGGCGGCCGTTTTCCGGCCGAAATTTTCAGAAATCGGCTCTTTCGGCCGCGGCCGATGGAGAACAGCCCTAGAAAGAGCCGATCTGAAAATTCGGCCGGAATACGGCCGCGAAAAAAACGGCCGATTTTGCAAAGTGGCCGATTTTTCAAACAAAGCAGCCGATTTTGGCCGGGGGCCAGCCGAATTTCAATTGGCTACGGCCGGTTCCTAATCGGCTACGGCCGATTCATAATCGGCCACATGGGGGCCGCCACATGGGCCTCCCACCCCTCCCCCCCCATAAATACGATGTTGATTTTGGGGAGTCCTACGTACCTACCTGCCGTCTTTTCACATTTTTTCACTTGCGGGGGTCTCCGGGTCTCCGCGCACCCTCGAAAAAAACAAAACAAAAAACTTGCAGCTCGCCAGCTCGCCGCTCACAGCTCGCAGCTCGCAGTCCGCACACCGTAGCACGTAGCACACAGCACACACATACCCACATGAGGGGATCCAGCACACAGAAGAACATGCTCGTAGGGTACAGCGAGGAGGAGGAGGAAGAGGAGGAGGAGATAAGCAACAGCGGGGATGAGCAGCGCCAGCAATTTGGCCCTGCACCCGCGCCGCAGCAGCAGCGCTCTCGATGGAGCGACAGCAGCGGCAGCGATGAAGCCAGCGACGATGACGTGGTGGCGCTTGCAGGACCAGCTGCCCGAGGGAGAGGGATGGGCGCAGCAGGAGAAGCGGACCCGTCCCCCCCGATGCCAGCATCGATGCAACGGGATCTGATTGCCTGGCTCAAATCTCCGGAGTCCTCCAACAGGGCGCGTGACAGAGCTAGCGCGAAAAGGGCACGTGATCGAGAGGCAACCGTTGCTGATAACGCCAAGAGCTCAACGGCCCCAGCCAAGAACGCCACGATCACTAGAGAAAGGAGGTTTGTGTCCAACGAGAGCCGCAGACAGGCGGACCACGCCAAGAAGAAGCCTAAACTTGAAGCGACACCTTAAAAGCACAAGACCCAACATAGAGTCTCACCCTTGGATCGAGTAAAGGAGTTCCCGGGCCAAGGGTTGGTTCGCTTGGACAACGGCAAACTGGGGTGCTCTGTCTGCAACTACAAGGAGTTACAACTCAAGTGGAGCAACGTCAGGGACGGACTGTCCCGGTCCCTGACGTTGCTCCACTTGAGTTGTAACTCCTTGTAGTTGCAGATAGAGCATCCCAGTTTGCCGTTGTCCAAGCGAACCAACCCTTGGCCCGGGAACTCCTTTACTCGATCCAAGGGTGAGACTCTATGTTGGGTCTTGTGCTTTTAAGGTGTCGCTTCAAGTTTAGGCTTCTTCTTGGCGTGGTCCGCCTGTCTGCGGCTCTCGTTGGACACAAACCTCCTTTCTCTAGTGATCGTGGCGTTCTTGGCTGGGGCCGTTGAGCTCTTGGCGTTATCAGCAACGGTTGCCTCTCGATCACGTGCCCTTTTCGCGCTAGCTCTGTCACGCGCCCTGTTGGAGGACTCCGGAGATTTGAGCCAGGCAATCAGATCCCGTTGCGTGGCCCATCTTGCTCTACGCAGTGTCTGGCGGGATAGTCCCTCCGCATGCTCCTCCCCTGGACCTCAGGATCGCGACTAAAACAACAAAACAACGAGGCGAAAGGTAAGCATATGTTGTTCGACGTTGTGTCTCCTACAGTAGTAGTACTCGGATTATGAAAATTTCGAGCTTCGTGCGTGTATGATCGCGCTTCAACACAGCAGCATGTATTATGCGTATCACTACTCTTTTTTCGTGTGATTCGACGTTACTCCAAGCAGCAGCATAGTCTACTACAGTCGACACCGTCGACATCTCTATGATCGCCGCCACACGATAAACCTCTCGTACCGGGCTTGGTTTGGCCTGGCAAGCACACACACTCAGTGATGTTTGCTGAGGTTCCGCCGCACTTTTTTGGGAACGACCCTTTTGCGTGGCGCGTTGCCTATAGGACACCGTTCCACGTTCTTTAACCGCGTAGGTGTTGCCACGGATCTCCCCAGACCGATTGCCCGCAAAAATAGTGGACGAAGGGATGTGCATGCTGATCAAACCCCATAAACGGTCTCAAATGAGATAGGAAAGAGAGAATGATGCGTTTTTTGCTTCCGGGGTATATTCCCCAACTATCCCCCCGTCGACCCTTGCCGCCAGCAACGTCCTTAGCACGCTGTTCAGCCTTCGCCACCACATTCAGCGCTTCGATCACTGCTGTTCATCCTCTTCTCTACCGCGGGGTGGTGTTTTGGGGGGTGATCGGTGGTGTCTCGGCGTGCACGGCTGCTGCACTGATCTGAGCTGAATATCGTTGGAGTCTGACCTGCCTGGGTCTGAGTGCACACCCCGTGGCGAGAACCACAACTCGCGCGCTACCGAGGGGTGCACACGCGAGTATCGACTCTTGTCTTTGCGGAGGGTCAAGGTTTGCCAGAGATTATCCTAGTTCCGCAGAGAAACTGAAGTTGAAAATCGGCTGTTGGGCACCCGTTTTCCCGCCTTTTCGGTTATGCCGCTTGCTTCACGCGGACGAACCGAGCATGGTATGGTCAGTGCTTGCGGTGGCCCGCCTGTTTGCTTCGCCTGTTGTAGGCCAGGTTGCAGCGACGGACCTCGAAGTTCATGGAAACACGTAGGTACTGGGCCTTTCTGGTCCACAATCGCACAGTGGAGTGCAGAAGTTGGCGAGGCATGGGTGCACAGCAGAGATTTGCGGAGGAACCCGCTTGAAATTGGCGAGTGTCTGTGCACTCGTGTGGACTGTGTGTACAACATGTACTCGAAGTTTCGCTTGCAGTCGGCGAAGAACGAGAAGGGCTCGTGGGATATGATGGCCAGGGGCCAGTCATCTCGTATGGGTCGCTACCCGTCGACACGAGCACAGGTGAGAAATTCTGCAGAGAAGCTTGCCGTCGTGTAGGCCTCCTGGCGTTGTGTGTTGAACTTCACCTCCGACCGCTCGCCGTTCTTGACCACTGCTGTGTAGTAAGCAAACGCTATCGTTAAGATCAACCCGTGTTGCAAGTACGGACGTATTGTTAAACGCTATTATGTGCATACGTGCTTCAGACTTGTTCGACAAAGCTTCAGACGAGATGTTGCTGTAGGTGCCAACTGCAAGAGCTTGCCCCATGATGCGCTCACTCGGGAACACAAGCATTTCTTGGTACCCTCTGTCAATTCTAATCGGTACGACGTGCTCTCATAGCCCTCCTTGACTACGGATGTGTAGCTTTTAATTTCCCTCTGGGCTTTGCGTAGGATAAGGCATATTTTGTGGCATGTTTATTTCGAAAGGGAAGGTTATGCTTATACAAGTACACGAACGGCGTTCAGGATCACTAGAGGCCTCCCCCGTCCTCCCTCTATGTCGCGCAGGTGGAAGCTCTTCTCTCGCATGTCAGCTTGGTGGGGGGGGTGTTGGATGCGTGCGGTGCGGCTAGCGATACCCTCTGCATGGTCCTGAAAGAGGCAGGTCTTGTTGTATCTTCCAACGACCTGAACGGCCGGTGAGTAGCGTTGTGTAGCTGCACTTCGTTGTCATTGGCGTTAGTGTTCGACCGGCCGTTTGACATGTGACGTCCCCCCTCCATTACAAGAACCCACCCCCTTCGACCATAACAGCGATGCAGGGTAGAAGTTAGTTGCACATTCGTTCACCCTTTCGTGACAGTCGTTAATAATAATAGCTTGAAGGACCGGGAATTATGAGAAGCAGGGTGTCCCACGGTACGGTGTTCATGATCAAAGTTGGATGCGGTGGCACAGGGTAGAAATGCATGTCGGCCAGGTTTACAACGTGTGGAAGACGCCCGAACAACAGATAACAAAGCCAAGCACTAACACAAGATTCAAATGCATTTTTGAAAAAGCCGCATGCCTATGGTGCGTGAGGGTGACGGTTTCGGCGGACAGCAGAGTATGATGAATACGTATATCGCCCTCGGTGTTGAAACACGTGATCCTTCTTTCATTTCTCGTTGCCAGATTGCCGGCGGATACCCACTTGGACGCGGCTTCGGAGGAGTTCAAGGCGGTCTTTAGCGATGAGGGGCGGAGGCCTGACTGGATTGTCACGAGCCCCCCGTATGGGAACGCATTTTGCATCGTGACACAGGCGTTGCTGGTTGCACGTGTGGGTGTGGCGTTCAAGCTTAGACTCTCTCTCTTGGAGCCCACGAAAACGCGTGGAAAATGGCTGAAAGAGAACCCCCCTACCTCAATAGTGGTACTTCCGCGCGCGACGTACCGTGGGCGCCAGTGTTCTCACACAGAGGCGTGGTTTGTTTGGCATCGTGAGGTAGGCGGCGACCAACCCCCGAGGCAGGCATTTTTTTTTTCTGGGAACTACTGAACCCGGAAGAGGGGACCTGTTCGTGATTGTCGTGCTTGCGTGGGTGTATGCTTAATAGCTGTAGAAGTTTTGTCGGCAGTATACCCCCCCCCCCCCCCCCCCCCCCCCCCCCCCCCCCCCCCCCCCCCCCCCCCCCCCCCCCCCCCNCCCCCCCCCCCTGCTCCCCCCCGCCAAGAGCAAGTAGCACGTTCTTTTTTATGTCGGTCAGCGCCGTGTGTGCGTGTATGCCCGGGTGAGGGCCCAGCCACGCACGAAAGGCGCGAGGTGCCGGAGCAGTAAAAAAAGGTGGTCATTAGTTTTTTTGTCTTGCGCCCCTATGCCAATGAAAACGCTACGGGTTCATTGAGACGTCAAAGCTGAGGCACTGGACGAGTCTACGTGGGGAGATCCTTCGGCATGTGTGTGCGCCGTAGTCGGGGGATCGGAGTGGGTGGGTTGCGTGGCGAAGGGTTGTGCAGCCTGCGATATTAAAAAAAAATAAGCCGGGAGGTTTTGAGTGTCGGGACTGGCGACTCCAGGGAAAGGAACGGAACAGAACCCAACCTCCAACAATGCACGTCGAACACGCGGCGTCACGAAAACATGCTTGCCCAAAAAAAACAAAAAAAACAGGGCCGGAATAATTTCTCCCGGGCTGGGGAGTACATGGAAAGGAAGGGAACAGAACCCAACCTCCATCAACCAACAATGCATCTCGAACACGCGGCGTCGCGAAAACATGCTTGCCAAAAAAAACAAAAAACAGAGCCCGGATAAGTTCTCCCGAGCTGGGGAGTAAGTACATGGAGAGGAAGGGGACAAAACCCAACCCCCAACAACCAACAATGAACGTCGAACACGCGGCGTCACGAAACATGCTTCCCAAAAAAAAAAGAGTCGGGATAATTTCTCCCGGGCTGGCGAGTACAGGGAAAAGAAGGGAACATAACCCAACCTCCAACAACGCACACCTCAATACCTGTATAAAAGAACCTGGCGACCTCAAAGCACTATGCCACCCCCCTGTCTCCGGGCGTGCAGTGCCCTGCCATCCCCTCCTAAACGAATGGTACACGGTGATACATCCCCCCAACCCGTGCGTGCGCCCGACCGCCCGCCCGCCCAAAAATTGCCCCAGCATCGGTTCAAAGCCTGTTCGGCTCCTTTTTGCAGGCCGGCGACACCACCCCAACGAAAGCTCCACTATGGATCGCGGCTGGCGGACGACAACAAAAGAAAAGTCGGTGCAAACAAGGTGCTTAGAGTCGTTTGTGCATGTGCCATGGCAATCTCATGACACCGTAAGGCTATGGCGGGTTCGTGGATTGGCAATATTCTGTGAAACCCGATACCCTTTCTCCAAGCCGACCAGATACACATCCAATACGCATGAGAGAAAGCTTGCACCATCACTACCGGTATACCTCCTCCTATGACCCTGAGCCACTATACGTTTGGAAAGCTCTCGACGAGACGGCTCCAACGCCGCCGTTTTGGGCGCTGCCAGTCATCATGTTGTGGAGAAATTGAGCTTTGAAAACAGGGTGAGGGGGTGTGTTATCTTGTGTCACGTACGGTACCCATGGCGCCCAAATTGACTACACAGCAGTACATTACGTAGCATCCCCGACTTCCCAAAGTACTTGCTCCGATTCTAAATATAAGGGCGGTTTGGAAATTCATAATATAAGGGCGGTTTGGAAATTCATAATATAAGGGCGGTTTGGAAATTCATAATATAAGGGCGGTTTGAGGGTTATTGGCAGAAACGTGCCATTTGGGCAAGGTGGACCTCGGATATCTTTGGCATACGATAGGATATCGCATTGGAGAGAGAGAGAAAAAAAAAAGCTCGATGGGGGGGGGATGGTGCGGTGAAATCCCCTGATCGGGAAAATGGCGGAAATCTGCCGTGGTTGTACCCAGAAGGGACAACAGACCGCCGGTGCAGTTTGATAAGAGCACTTCGAAGATCTTCAATTGCGCATAACATTGGATTAACAAAAAAACATCCGCCTCTTGCAAGGGGAGGGGACAGCTGATATTCATCCCCGGGTTGACGAAAACATAGAAAACCAAGTTTACCTAGGTCCCGCACCAACTGCTGTTCTGCGCACACCCTTCAGCCACGGTAGCCGACCCTCTACGCCTCAGCCAAACAACTCTTCATTGCAGCGGTATCCTTTTACTCCGTACACAGCAGCTGATACTCCGTGATTCTCCGCAATGGCCGCCCCTTGGCCCATCCCTGTCACTCCTCTAGGTTACACCCGACTTTCTATCGTACACGGCAGCCACCTCATTCTAGAATACACGGCCGCCGCCCCTCCCAGCCCCTCGCCCCCCTGATGCCGCCCCCCGTCCGCCTGCAGCAGCCCCTCGTCCGCCTGCAGCAGCCNTTCGTCCCTTGAGAGGCACTCCCAGCAGCGGACATGGCTCAACAGCAGTTGGGAAGGTGTTTGACCGGAGCTACAAAGTTGGGGTGGTGAGATCGGGCGCGGTCTGCTGCTGTGGGCTGCACCTTGCTGGTGTGTGTTCAGAAAGACCCCGGTTCTGCGCGTAGCGCAGCAGTGCGGTGGAACCAACAAAAAAAACTGTTCGGCAAAAGAGTTCTGCAGGCCCGAGTTATAAGACCGCTTTTTGTCCAAACCGCCCTTATATTTAGAATCGGAGGAAGTATGTCACTTGGACGCATCCCCCGGAGGCGTCGTCATCTTTGTTTTTCTCTGGGCAACAAACTACACGCACGCAAGAACAAACCANTGCTGTGGGCTGCACCTTGCTGGTGTGTGTTCAGAAAGACCCCGGTTCTGCGCGTAGTCTGCGCGCTGCGCAGCAGTGCGGTGGAACCAACAAAAAAAACGGTTCGGGAAAAGAGTAGTTCTACAGGTTCTACAGGCCCGAGTTAGACCGCTTTTTGTCCAAACCGCCCTTATATTTAGAATCGGAGGAAGTATTTATCAGTGCAGTGTCTCTGGTCTGAATGACTGCTGTCTAGGAAGATGGTCGCCCTCCATGCATCTCTCTCTCTTTCTCTCTCTCTGCTCTCTCTCTCTCAGCTTGTCGTACGTATGATACATGTACATGGATATGGGACAGCACAGGAGCGTCGCCTGCGCTCCAGCTGGCAGTCTCAGCACGTGATTGCCCAACCTTTCACAACGCTGGAGCGGATGTGTAGCCGTAGGCCGTGTGTACAGATCGTATAGCTCCGAGAGAGAGAGAGTAATAAAACACATGATGACACAGGAAGATCGCCCACAGCAGCAGCAGCTGGCGGTGCGGACTGCTGTGTGGCAGTATGGTGCGGCGGATCAGGCAGCGAATTTCAGCCTATGCCTAGGCACTTTTTGTACCGCCGACTTCTCGACGAGAAGGAAAAAATTCGCCATGCCCGTGGGCCATAACTCTCCTACTCACCTAACCAAGCAGATACGAAGTCCGCCACCGGAGATTAACCTCCGTGCACCGAGCTGTTGACCTCCGCGTGATGGTGTCTTCCCTCTGTTGCATTTCGCATTTTGCATTTCTCTATGGTTTCAAGGAGGTTCCCGAGGCTCTTACGATTTTGGATTTATTGTAACCTAAAAAAGCGCGGCGGAACCTCAGCAAACATCATTCACTGCTTGATGCTTGACCGGTTGCTTCGTTGGGAGACACGTGAGAGGACTGCATCTATCCTCGCTGCGTATTTACCTCTGCACTACTTCTTCATGCCATCAGTCCTAGTGGGTTCAAGCGGCCACAGCAACCGCAGCAACGATGGGTGGCGGTGATCTTGAGCAGGTGAACCGATCGAAAGTGCTTCACCTCACGGGCATGGGGCTGCGTCGAATACCAAAACCCGTTCTTCGAACGGTCGGCCTGACGAGGTAAAAGCGAATACTGTTCCATTTATTCACCATGTGCTTCCCAAGCGTACCGCTGAAATCACACACACACCTATCATAGCATAACATGCTGCTGAGGTTCCGACGATCGGGCGACCACTCAAGCAGTAACCTCATGTCTGCATGTGGGCAATGGCGACAGCAAGTTTTAGCGGGCTGGGTAGTTGTTCCTTTATTTACTTCCAAAAAGTAACTGTATGGTGGGTAGTGTAGTGGGGACAACAACGACACGGCCTTCGCAAACCCAGGGGCGGTGAATACACTAAACCCTGGCCGGTGCAACAGAGTAATCTGTAGCAGCAGTAGAAGGGTCGGCTCACACAAGAAACACCTGCAGCAAGCAAGATTCAAAAACCTTACACCATGAATGTCTCAGCGATTGAGCACGACCTACTCGTATTAAAAGTATGATGCCGACCATTTTTTCTCGTCGAAAACCTGAGCCCGGGTTTCTTGTACGGTGGATTTGCTCCTTGTGAATGGGTTGGCACATTTTCGACAGAGAATCACGCCATTGCCTGTGTTGTGTGAGGTGTCTGCAATTGGTTGGTCTTTTGCTTCCCTCGCGTGTTATGCCGTCAGTAACGATTGATCCCTTCGGGTGGTGCTCGGGCGCTCGTCCGGTCTTCGGAATCGAACGTGTACCAATCTGCGGTTGCCCCGGGCTCGCTTTCTTCCAGGTTAGACTTAGCTTGCAACGAGCTTCCTTCGGTGCCCGCTGCCATTTCCTCGCTCATCAACCTGGAGCACCTGTGGCTCCAAGGCAACCCCATCGCGTCCGTGCACTCTGATATTCAGCATTGCACCCGACTCAAGGTGACTTGCCTAGACTTGGAGCAGTCCCTCGAGTTTAAAGCCGTTGCGTGTAGTCTAGTCTAGAGAGAGAGAGAGAGATGCACCAGCGAATCGAACCGCATGCTGTTCGGAGTCCGTCTTTTTTGTGCTTTTGGTGGAAACGAACCCGACGCTCAAAATGCTTGGTGTCGTCCCTATCGTGGCAACAGGCCTTGCGAACAAGAGATTTTTCTTTCAGTTGAAGAATACCGTGAATGCATCTACGGCCCTCGTTTGTGCTACGTCTTGACCACGGAAATACTACATGGGGCGGGCATAAACCGGTTTCACGACGACAACAACAACCCCAACCCTTATGTAGTTCGTGCGTGAGAACAACGCCGACACCCACATCCCGCCACAAAACAAAGTACAGGTTCTCGATCTACGCAACACGGCGCTGACGAAGCTCCCGCGAGAGATTGGCCGCCTGTCGACCATTCTCGAGGTACGTATCCTACAGCAAAACAGACAACCTTGCCGGTGTAGGTTCACGTCGAGCCGTATGCAATGCTGAAACAAGTGAAACGGTCATCATCAGCACCAAGAGGGACTCAGGCATACTGTCCCAAACGAATCAGTGAGAGAAGATGAGCGCTGCAAAGCCTGGAACTCGCGAGGCTTGCCGTCAATATCGGATGTCTCCCTCTCTCCGCTTGTAACTCGATCTGCTCGGTGAGGCTGCAGATTGATCTTCGCGGCGCCCCATTAAAAGCGAAGATGAAGTTCTTCCACCGGAACACTAAGGGGCTCATGTCGTACCTCAGGGAGAGAGATGCGAGGAAGCACATCAAGGTGTGCTTAGCAAAGGGCAAAGGGAAAGGGCAGGATGATGGAGGTACAGTACAACCAACCAGATTCTCGACAGGCATGGCACCATGGAATGGAGCAGCATGCGAAACCCACCGACCGCAAGTTGTTAAGTTCGGCTTGGAAGTACGTATGTAGTGTGTACTAATATTAGCACGGAACGGATATATGCTCCCCGTGTGACTTGGGCCCCTCTCCGTCCGTTCGGTCGGCCATCAACACAGAAGGTAACGCTTGCCTCTCTCTACCTTCCCGCTTTCCTAGCATTCCGAAACAAACACGCGTGCAAAACATAAATAGGTGGCGATGACGAGGCTTGCGTTCGCACTTTTTTCCCTCAAGGTAGAGCTTTACAACAAGCTGTCGACGGGCCTGTACCGAGAAGTCCTCGATTCTCCGACCGGACGTCACATCCATCCCTTGATCAAGGCCGTCTGTCTGGCCTTTAACGACCTCCAGGAGCTCAAGTGAGTCCATGCTCGAAAGAGGCATTCTGAGGCTTAGAAAGGATTGTCTCTGTCTGCTTCTCGGAAGCACGAAAGCGCACCACAGCAGTAGATCAAACCCCGCGGATCTCTCTGTCCGACCCCCGCACAGTAGTGTTAGGCTCCAGCCGTTCCACAGCTTCGTCCTCGCAAATTGTTTCCATGACGTGCGGCGTTAATGAATTCTGGCAAACGTGCGGTGGTGGCTCGGTTAACGACGCAAATATTTATTTACACACCTGCGTGCACTTGTCCCAACATTTGTTGCTCGGGAAACATCTTTGCCTCAAATGAACCTAACCAGATATCGGGTGGCAAGATCACTCTCCCGTCTTGGCCCAGGGCGAATTCGAATAAGAATGGTGATACATGCTTACTCTCCTGTTTCTTGTCGTGCTAAAGGCAGGTTGCTCGGCACTGCGACCGCCTGTTCCCCGAGGACCTGGCCACCGGCGGGATCGACCCAACAGCCGCCGCTTCCACTCTACGCGAGAAATTCACGGTGCTCGGGCGAAGAAACGAACGGAAGCGCCTAGCCTCGCAGCTGGAGCTCAAGATGCGAGCGATCTACTACGACGTGATCGATCCAGCCGCCGTTGAGGGGTACATAGCGTCTATCTACCAGCAGGTAGGAGTGGGCATGGGGGGTGAGGGAGAGGCATGAGGTCAACGGGGAGGGGTGCCACGTGGGCGCGGTGGTATATCTGATAGTCGCGTGGGATCCTTCGCAAAAGAATGGGGGGGTATGGGTTACATGGGTTAAGGGGCGCAAGTGTACGGTCATACGGTCGTAGGATTGATGACCCTTGCCATAAAGTAAGGGCTAGAAGCGGGCGAGCCCTTAGTTGTTCCAATCGGTGGGGGTTAAGCTTGGTGGGAGTTCGGGAGAGGTCTTCCACGGTAGACGATCTCTGGCGGCAGTTTGTTGCAGGATGCTGTTCCTCTCGGGATGGTTCCATCAGGCGGAATGGTTCGGAAAACGTTTATTTTCTTCTCGGGAGAACGTGTGCCACCCATGCCCGCCTGTTGAAGCGATGGGGTGCTTGAGGCATGCCTCTGCAATCGTTCCGTTGGTCGCTCCGCTGGAACTTTCTCCGTGTAACGAAGGTCGAACTGCTGGAAGACGTTCAATTTCTGGTGAGACACGCAGGGACGGTCATGCCTCCAGATCCGAAAGAGATCACCGGGATCGGCGTGAAGAGCAGCATGCTGGCGTTGCAGAAAGACATGACCGAAGCAAGACAAAGGTATCATGCATCATGAAGAAGCTATCTATCAATCTATCTGTCTGTTCGTGAAGGGGCTCGCTTTTTATACTCTGACCAAACGATCAGGTTGTTGTTTAGGCAGTGACTGACTGTCCTTGTATCTTCGTGCTTTGTTATTGCCCCCGACCTTCGTGAATAAACCTGAGCAACGCTCTCCATCAACAAGCACGTACGTACATTGAGTCATGCGGGTGCGTTGACGAGGACCGTTGAACGATCGCCAACCTTTTTCTCTCTCTCTCTTTCTTCCGAATGTTTCCGGCAGACCCGACCACAACGGAAACCAGCCTCTAGACTAAACTGCTGTCGCGTACACGTTATATCCTACACAGATGCGTCGACGGCCTGTTTGAGACTCTCACGCAGATCTACAACGACCAAGAGTCTTCCAAAGTACGTCGGCTGACCCAACGGGTGGCAGAAGTTTTCGCGAAGGGGAGTCGTTTCGCGGACGCCAAAGAGCTTGAAGAGCTGAAGCAGCTCAAGGCCGACGCGCAGGTAACCCGATTACTTCGATCGGTTTCGATCGCAATTCGAACTCGTAGCATCCGCAAGACAACATGGGAATGCGGCCGGTCGTTATTCTCTCCTTCCAACTTTGCTAGTGGAGGGATTCCTGCATCCCGTGTAAGCATTTGTACTTCTCATTCAGATGTTCCGTTGAGAGCATTTGAGGAGAGAAGAAATAATTTTGCTCGAGCTCAACTCGTAGACGTGCATAGTCGAGCAAAAAAAGGTCTGTTCGACATTCTGCCGACGCCTGCATATTTGAACAGACGAATCAGTTCAGGTTTGGTATGGCAGCTTGTAACGACAGGAATAATTGGTTGTGTTTTGAGGCTGGTTTGAGCCGTGAGGGCACACCACTCGGTATTCAAAAGAGACTAAGAACATGTTATTTGCTTTCGATTGGAAACAAATGAAGTTGAGATTACAACCCAACAACCTCAGAACGTTTTTGGTTGAATACCTCTATGGGCTCATAGATGCACACGGCTTGCTGGCAACTCAGGGACGTTAAAGGCTAAGCGCATGATGCGTTCTGTAGGAAGCAACCCGTCCTGACGTAGACAGCGAGATTCCACCGGATTAATGAAAGAATCGAAGCTTGACCGCGGTACCGCGCACACACCTCAACGACTGTCATGCCCTACTCACACACCCTTGTTTGCTGCCTCCCCTTCATCCCAACCACCACCACTCTGTGCCGATCCACGACGTGTGTATTTGCCACCTTCTTCCCGATGTAAACATCAACCAGCGCGTTTTCCCGGCGGAGATCCGAGAGGCCGAGCCCATCCGCGTTCGAACCATGTTCCTCGCACAACGAAGGGAGCAGCAGGGAGACTGAATGACTGAATAGACTGTATAGTCTATGTGCGCCCCTTTCAAGAGAAGTTTTTATCGGGAAGGTTAACTGTCGTTGTGGGTGTTGAAAGGGGGCGCTAGGATCACAGAATAACAAGAGTCATCTTGTTGTTCGGTGCGACGCATCTGCTGTCCTCCTTCGAGTTTCTTTCCGCTGGCAGTGTCTTGCACGGCATTTATTTCTTCTCGTCCAACTCGTATGCATAGCATGGCATGTACTGTATCTCCGTTGACCTACCTCCTCGTGGAGGTTGATGATATCTGTCATGTGGCCAAGGGTACTTTATTTGCCGTGACATTTATTTGGAGTATGAATCAGTCCGGGCCTTCGATCAATACAGAAGGACGATGGTACCTCCCAAGTATATTTGGGAGGTATATAGGCATGCGGAGGAGAATATCGCACGGAAAGCACAAAATCGCGGAGCACTCCCTACGGGACAAACAAACTACTCGTGCGACGACGGCAGCAACATTTATTTGGAGTATGAATCAGTCCCGGCCTTCGATCAATACAGAAGGACGATGGTACCTCCCAAGTATATTTGGGAGGTATATAGGCATGCGGAGGAGAATATCGCACGGAAAGCACAAAATCGCGGAGCACTCCCTACGGGACAAACAAACTACTCGTGCGACGACGGCAGCAACGGCGTGCATATCATCGCGGGGCATAGCAACCGGAATCTGATAGGACGCGGGGCGCCAACTGTGGCACTGCCGTTGAGAAACTGTGGCATGTACATTAGTGCAGGTCGGCCGTCAATCAAACAAGTCAACTGAAGCTTTTGGGGATATTCTGCCGACTTCGGCCGCCCCTCAAACTCAAGGCAAGACACTGGGGTTGCGAACGTTGCGCCATCGCATGAAGTCAACGAATGATTTGACGCATCACCCGCCGATCATCTTACCGATAGAAGAGCAGCAACCATGTCGCTGGGGGGGAAACCAACACATCGTTTGAGACGAAGAAAATCTTGATCGATCAGATGTTCGAGAGGCAAGTGCACCGTGCTGACGTGTCAATACACTTCATTCGTGTCAAGCTTTTCTGAGTAGTTGACTTGGCGGAAGGCCAGGCGCACAGCCTGTTCTTTGACTGTTTCCCTTGCATGATACTCCCAATCTCCACACGACCACAAAAAATAACTCGCACAAAATAGAGCATTAGTTTCCGCCAACTATTTCGAACAATGAAGCTATAACCTCGAGCAGGGCTGCACCCCAGCCACGACTACGCGATCTATCTCCGGCGTCACACATGCTTCTTGTGGCAAGAGCCAAAAGTACCGGGCTTTCGACTCAAAGCCATCGTCGTCCGAAACAAGCACGGCCCTGACCAAACGCGCGTGACACCTCCACGAAACAAACGCCAGCACCGTCGAGAAAAAGCTGCTTCTCTTCTCTTGACACCAGCAAGAGTAATAGAACTTCAAAGACTCTTCACGCCCCAGTTTTCTCGCCCTACAATCCTCCGCCAAAAATCAACAACCCCAGGCAAGACCAATGGAGGACAGGCAAGACAGCAGAGGTGTCACGTCCAGCACAGCACTACCGTGGGTGACGTGAGAAAAGACACCACAACTCCTGGACCGAATATCAAACCTCTGGTATTGCTCTGCCCACGACGAAGAGGGCGCCAAAATCAGATGACACGTTCGTTCCGGAGAGCCCTCGACGAGACACTTTCAACAACACCATCCATCATCGGCACCGTCCCGTCGCTATTGTTTGCTGCAGAATTAAGTCGAGGCTTTTGGAAATCGGTCCAAGGGGCGGGCGTGACATCGCACGCAACCCGCGATATTGCGGGGGGGTCGGAGCACCTTCCGTGCATCATTGACTCGAACCCTTCGAAGCTGCGGCAGCGGCGTCAGCATTCCCCGCCGCCGCCCCCTTGTCGTCGCCTTTCTGAAGCCCGTTTCCGCCTTGGTCCGCGCCTCCACCCCCCCCCCCC